GGGCTGCACGAAGCAATGCTGATGTGAGGGCCTCATCTCCCCGTTTGCTTTATCACAAGGGCCATGTTAAGCACCTCTATGTTTGTCACTTCTCTTTTGACTCACTTTTTTTTTGTTCCATATATCAGCACTCCAGAGTCTCCCCGTGCAGTCTGCTGAGCTGCTGTGGTGCCGTGGTGATCCTTGCTCACTGCAAGCAAGTCTGCTTATTTTTCCCCTTTGACTAAATCAGTCTGTTCCAAAAAGGGCTAATCTTACCACCCCATTGTGATACGTTTTACTTTCTGCAGTGGGATATTTGCATCGGAACAGTGCATGGGTGGAGCTCCAAGCTGCTAAAAATGACCACAAGCCAGTGGCAAGTGGTGGTGAAATCGAGGAATGCAARGCCCTGTCAGAAATGTTAAACTAATATATTTTATTTTACATTTGCARTGGACTAAAACCGTACTGAGACAGTTGATGTGTGACAACTAGGGCCAGGCCTTTGACCATTGAGCCCTTCACTCTCACCTTGGGTTTTCTCAGAGCTCTCTAAGCTTTCCTGAAGTCAGAGAAACCACCATCACTTTCAGTGATCTTTAAATTACATCTCTAGCATCCACTGTACAGCTGGGATCAATGCCAGATTTTCGTCTGTTAACCAAGTATATTTGGGCACTACAAGGAATGGAGATCACAAGGAACTTCTCTCTACTGACACAGGATGTGCAGCACAGCCAGTAATACATAAAGTTTAAACTGGGAAAAATATTCTGACTGTGCTTCAACTTCTTTGTCTATATTTACAGTTTTTAAATATAGTTGCAGGTTTTATAGAAATACACCTCTTTTTTCTTACTATTTTGTCAGACATCGCAATTTAATCTGCCTTTATGCTAGATTACAATTGCCTATTCAGCCAAAATAATATACTACCAGTAACTCCATATCTGGTTTTTTATTCCTACAGTTAAAATACATGGAGCTTCTTCAACTCAAAGCATAGTTTACTGAAGTACAAAACTGTGATAAAATGTGTCTAAAGATTTTTTTTAATGTACAAATCACCTGGTACCTTCTATCAGAAACATCTGTTGTTCCTACACAGTATATCCACAATAGCAAGTAATTCAGCCATGAGCTGGAAACTAACAGTTAGGCTGATGTGACAAGTCATATGTTGACAAGGCCATTGTCTTACATCTCCTTTTGCCTCTCCTCTGTTAGGATTCATATCATGCTTGTCTTTGCAYAGATATGCATAAAAAGCTGGTGTCCCATTCCCTAGAATTATATTTAACAGGGGAAAATAAATTATGGCCAAGGAGAGAGGTCTGGATACCCTTCTAATAATACTCGTTAATTAAGAGAATCAATGTGTAGAATGAGTTGTTGTTGTGACACACAGTGAAGTTTTAAAATGCTAATGTTAAATGTTTAGATCTTCAAGAGAAAAATGTATTCACMTTTCAGGTTGTTTGTTTAAAAAAGAAAAGGGAAAAAAATGAAAAGAAAGAAAAGTAGTAAGAAATGGAAAATACCAGGCAATATGAAATGCATAGTAAGAATACTGACCATAACTATAGTACACATCACTGATTCGAGGTTTACTACTCTACCATGCTTGCATGGACCTTTTTGTGACCTCAAGCAAGTTACTCCCATCTCACTATTCTTCCATTTCCTCTTTCTGTAAAATGATATTAATAGCACTTCAGCTGCAGAGCAGGTTTATTGTACAAGGCTTAATGAATGTTTGTCTCCCTCTGATTGAGATTCTTTCCTGCTGGAGGCAAGAATTTTAAGCAGGTTGATTAAATATAAAAGGTTTCTAACTCAGAAGCTATTATTAAAAGCAGAAGGAATTATTTCTTAGGGAATTTTTAATTYGATGTCCATTAGAATTGTCTAAAACTCAGCAGCTTTTGTTCTTTAGTAACTTTATTTCACAGGAAAATTCTACTGGGGAATGCTATAACTTCTGAAATAATCCAAGACARTTAAGTAATAGATTTACTTTCACCGCCCTTAGGAGTAGCAAATAACTTCCATTCTGCAGTCGGAAAAAAAAATGTCACTATGCTATTAATATAGCAGCAGTYTGGAAACTGCAGAAAAACCTGAATTCAAATATTTGGCCAGAGCCAATCTCCCTTCCCAGGGGCCCAAAACTCTAATAGTGGCCCAAAGCTGTGACCCAAAAGCTCGGATGCTCGGCAGCCCCAGGTTGAGCATGTGAGAGGACCAAAGGATGTGGTTGGAGCCTTCTTTTCCAGAATAGTTTATTGCTAAGAGCCATTACTGAGAAAATAGTTCATGTCCTTTGCTGCCTTCTGTCCCAACAGATCCAGAGGAAATTTCATCCATGGTGAGGGTCAGCTTGTGGCCTGCGCCCCAACAGCATGCACATACCCTCATTCCTAGTGACAAAAAGACAGATACAGGCCTCTGGCCTTGCTCTTAGGACAGTTTCTGYGATTTATGTCAAACCATCTTTGGATAAAACCCTGAAACAATCCTAGAAACAAAGCAGAGTGCAAGAGCTGGTGCTTTGAGGTGCAATCCTTGCTCCTCGGCCACATGTCCAGGTGCTGAGCCACTCTTCTTGGAGAGAGAAAATGAGCAATCATTAAGTAAAGTGAGAGTATCTTTAATCCTCACAGATAGAGATGAGTAGTGTGTGGCTCACAAAATATAAAGCAGGCATAACATATACTTAATTTGATGCACATTAATCTTGTGCGGTGGATGGGTAGGTGTCCAAAAGCCAGGGTTATTCACTGGCCCATCCAGACACCCTGACAGCATGTCTTGTACAAATAAAGACACAAACATATCCAAGAAATTTGCTGCTGGAGCTGAACACTCACCTCTAACTCTTCTCCCCCAATTTTGCCATAGGCTCACACTTTATAGCTATTTTGTATGCCTCCATCAAAAAAAAAAAAAAAAAAAAAAAGAGAAGGGAAGGGAAGGGAAATGATACAGACACTGGCAAGGCGCTGGATTTAGTGGTCCTCACTGGTTTCAAGTATTTATTGCAAAAATAGAACTAAGGAGGTGTATGAACTGAAGTTATCAGGTATATGAATTTAATCTCTGTTTGGTATATATGTTGAAAAGCTTGGCAGGAATGCAGGCAGCAGCCACRGCAAGTGCTACAGAGCACAATTGTGGCTCAGGGATTATATAGCTACTGCTGGTGGCCAGGGACAAAAGGTGCAATGTTTTAAGAGTTAGCTGTATAGAAACCTTGGTGTTTCCATTATTATACAAACAGGGCTTAAAGTCCTTGTCTTTCTTCCTGATGTGTTAAAAGCAATTAGAGTGCTTAATAAAATTCAGGGACAAGTTTTCTTTTGCTCGGAAAATGGAAGATGGAGCCTCTTCAGAAAGCTGTGTGTGCAGTTTCCCCAATATCTGCAACTTTACAGCTAAGAAAACTAATTCACGTGTGTTTCTTATGCTCCAAACTGAAATGATGGGATAGCAGAAGCTTTATAAGCTGGGCAAAGGAAGAAAATAAATGGGAATGTATAAGGAAAGCTTTTGCTTTGGGAATAACAAATATAATATGCATACACGTGGCCATCAAATTTTCCTTTTTTTCCATTTTACTATGATTCAGTGACCTCACATATACTCCTAARTCTAATCTGGTTTTCTTGCTCATGATATCAGCTGCAGAGTAAATAGATCAATGTTGGGAGTCAGGGTGATGACATGGGAGCAATGCTTAACCTGGGGGGATTTATAGGTGGTCAAGGCACCAGCAAGGATGTCAGTAGCCTTCGTCCCACTGGGCTGTAACACGAGGAGCTGGGATACAGCTAGAAACGAACTAAAAGGGAAGAAAGATCTTTTTTCTGTTTTCCCTCTTCAGGTGTCCTGAGGCACAAAAATGACAGAAATTGCTGAGGTCATAATTTATTGTCACACTTATAAAGTGAGCTGACTTGTGTAACAATCCTTGCAACCAGCTGGAAGGAGGTCGTTTCAGAGCTGTGCAAAACGATTGCCAGAAAATGTAACTGGTGCCAGTTTTGCCTTGGCTTGGAGTCCAGGTAACAAATTAGATTTAGCTCAGGGAGAAGATTTTAAAAGTTTGCTTATATTTCTGTATCAGGAATAATATTGTTTTATTTTCTTTTTGGCAAGATGTCAGGTACGTAAACACTTGAGTGTCAGCTTAATTCTTCTCACTTTTGAGAGTCGCTCATTGATGAAATCCTCAAGTTATTCATATCCTGCAAATCTAGAAGTAACTACAACATTAGCATGAAATCTCCCAGTTGAAATTGGAAGTTACATGGAGCTTTTGGTATAAAAGAATAATAATTATAATTTCTTGAACCCTGTTCAGAATCTCATATTAAGTTTTGGAAAAAAAAAAAGAAGTCATATAGACCTCACCTCTCATCCAATTCCATTAAAATAAATTGAGAGAATTGAGAAAATTGTTCTGGTAACTCAAGTCATAGTTTGTGTCTTTTTTTATCTCTATTACCTCTTGGAATGCTTAGGCAATGCAACCAAAACCCTTTCTTATGCAAAAATATGCCTAATAGGCCATGTTTTCTCCTTCTGCCAGATGCTGGTTTCTTCTGGCACTAATGCACCACTGCATATATAGAAATTTATGTAAACTGAGGCTGCAGCTAAAAAAAAAAAAAAAAAAAAAAAAAAAAAAACACCTAATTTTTTCAGGCACACCTCTTAAGAAAGTTCTTAATTTCTAGTTTTCTCTGTTAACAATCCCTATATGTGTTTCAGCTGCAGATCTCCCTCTAACTATTACATTCCCAATCACTTTGCTTCCATCAGAGRAGGCAATCAGAAAAAGCTGTCACTGCCCCTCAAGGTTTCTCCTTGGCTAATTGGAGTTTTTGGCTCTTTATCCTGATGATTAAAAGAACAGCTGAGTGGAAGTCAGAACGCATTTACAGCGCTGACACACCCTGCTCTGCTGTTTTCTTTGCACTGATTAATTTAGCAAATGAAACTCCCCTAACCTCACATAACATTTTGTCTGCACAAAACTACTGTTGCTGTATAGTTATAAATAAGCCCTAGGTAAACTCTCTTGCAGATAATTGCATTGGCATGACAAAAGCTTTTAAGATCCTCCTTTTTGTTGAAAAGTGTTTTTTTTTTTTTTTTGTGAAGTAACATTTTGTGTTAGAGCATATAGATTGTATGAAATGAAGCAGCCCTTTGGAGAAGCTGCCCTTCTTAGTGTATGAGAAAAACAACTGTTACTGTTTACACTCTTCAATCAAGGTAAGCATGTTTGTCTAAAGTATTACTACAGCTTGGCTTGCAAACACTTCAAGATTGCTTACTGGTTTTCTATATATAGGCTTCTCTGTGGAACTGCCTTTATCAAAACTTTTGGGAAAATCTTTAACAGAATCTGAGAAACTTGCCTAATTTATGCAGTTATCTGTTCTCCTTGTATTGATCCCCTCCATGATAGATGTTTATTCTCCATGGCTGTGATAACCTAGAATTAAAACTGAAGCATTTCTATTTTATGCCTGTAATTGCTTATAGAGAAGAGACTCTCGTGTGTGTGTGTGTGTGTGTGTGTGTGTGTGTGTGTGTGTGTGTGTAAAAGCTGTAATATAAAACCTAGTATAAAACTGTCCCAAACTTGCAAGACACAAATTTCTAAATGGCCACAGACTTATCTTACTGGAGTTTTTAGGAACTAGTTTTAAAGTGTTAACTATTCCCCCACTTCTTGTAATGAAATAATTCTAAGGGAACCAGTGAGCTCCCTGATTTTGAGAAGAGAGAAGTGTTGGGGACATGGTCCCCACATCAAAACTGTCCTGGAGAGAGCAACCATTGATGATTTAAATCTTCACTACTTTATCTCTTTGTTTGCTGCTTGGAATGCTATTGATACCTTCTTTGTCTTTGTAATTGTTTTAATTAGCCACCCAGCATGGGCCCCTGACAGTGCTTGTGATAGAGTATTATGGACAACCCAGCAGGACAGTGAGCCTGTTAACATGAAACACAGACATTATGGCGAGCTTAATTTCTTTTATTTGTGTCAATTTTTTCCTGTCCTCTTTGTTTGGAGGTGTATGTGCATTATTACTTTATAGAAGGAAAATAACTTTCCAAGCACCTTGGGCTTTTAAAGAGGATAAGAAGCGTGAAAGCACCGTCACAAACATTTCTCGGAGATTCTACAATTAAAACTGATATTACCACGACTCATTTCTAGAGGCAGACAAAGAACAAAACGTTGGCCATATTGATTAGCCTTTTCATACATCATGTTTTCAGCAATTAGACTGGTGTTTATGTTGGTTACTATACTCTCAATCCTGCAAATTTCTTCCTAATTATTATTTTTTGGCTCCGTAACATTATTTGTTCTTGTTTACCACATCCTTTGTTTTTTGTAAATGGAAATTTGGATGTTAAATTTTGATGCAGATCTGCAACTCATTACCCAGAAGCTTTGGTACAGTCACCAAGAAGATAATTTTGTCCTTTCACCATGTGGGATCTTGTGAGAAATAGTTTTTTGGAGAGAAATAACATCAAAATGTCAAGTCTTTTCACAGCATAGATTTTTAAAATAGTTTTGTGCTTTGGATAGAAGAATGAGAATGCAGAGAGGGGGAGAGGTACTTCATAAAAACAGAGGTTTCCTTTGAATCAAGATTGTTCAAATTAGCCCAAGGTCAGTCCCTGGCAATTATTACCTCACTTCAGCTGGTCTCCGGACATTAATAAAAGCATCTGCTTTATTAACCAGGAATCTAGGAGGTTTGGRGCACCCCATGCTGAATTTCTAGCTTGTTAGCCTATTTGTTTCATTTTATTGGATTCTTTGGAAAATGTTTGTGATAAAGTATTAGTCTGTGACTTGATGGAGCAGACTGTAATCCCTCTCTTCTTTGATGGAGGCAAATGTAAATTCTGAGTGCCTGGGTATTGCTGTGTTGGGTTAACTTAAAGGTATTACTTATTTTCAGGGTTGCCTCTCATGCTTTTTCATGCCCCTCAGTCAAGGGGGAAAGGTGTATAGTGCGAGATGGCTTGAAGGGGGAGCTTTGCTTCTTAGGGAAGATTTTAATTGTGACTGTTTTTAAGAGACCCTATAGTGTCCACCAAAGAGGAAGGGGAAATCTGTGTGGGGTGAAGGTGGAGAGGGATGGGACATGGGTTTGGAGAGGTTGTGGCTGGTAGGGAGGTTCCCTCCAATTCCTCTGGAACGGGGTGGTTGACCAGGAGCATGTTTGTACCTTCCACATGGCAATTTACAGCTCAGTGTCTTAAGGCAAATTATCATTCTTTTCTATTGATATTAAGGTACCAGCAGTGGCTCTTGGCTCTGCGTCCTGGGCCAGGTTGGATGAGATGGCAGCAGGAGCCTCATTGGCCTTTGTGATGACTGGGAATCAAACCTGTGGTAGCCAGGGACAGAAATGAAACCTACAGCTGTAAATCAATATGTCAGAAAAGGGTTGGGAGGATAAGAAATCCCCCCTGCATTAAAACTATGGAAAAGGTACATGAGAACAGGGAGGCAAGGACCATTGCCCAACGCACAGTGTAAGCGGGATGTGTTCCTATAGACAGACGCTTTGATCATGGAAAGAAGTAGTAATATCATCACCAGCCAGGCTTGATCCACCTCTGAGGTAATCTCAGGTACTAGTTTTAAATTTCTGTGCAGCAGGGCCCCATTTCCATTGCTGCTAGATGCGACAGAGGCACCTGCAGACAGCGAGACCCCTCAGCACAGTCAACTTGCATTGGCAGAGCAGATGCATGGAGGAAATTCAGTTGTCTTGAGATTTGGTCTTTAGCATTCAAAAATTACAAGGTTTGCAGCATAGTAGCTTTGTCACAGTTTTCTTGTTTGACCTCGGCAAATTTATACATAGCCTAGTATGTGCTTCAGCCATCCCCTTTCCCTCTCCTACCCTCCCCAAAATGYAGATGTGATTCATTTGGTTCTCTAAGCTATTCTAAGGATAAAAGTCAACTGATGATTGCAAAGAGTTCAGAGGCTACAGTAAAGGCTATCTAGACTGAATAGAAAGGATTTGATAATCTTGCTTAGCCAACCTTTACAGAAAAATAAATAATCTTTATTTATGTCTTCTGATTTTCAAATAGAATTGTAACTCTTTAGCAGCACGCAGATTGAACAGCTGTGTCATGCCAAACCGATACTCAGAGATAGTGAGATTTTACTATTTTAATTAAAAAAAAAAAATCAAGCTAAAGATTGTGAATGTCTCTGCTCCATGAAATCATGTACTTGCAAACTTTTATTTTTAAATTTCTGAACTTGTCATTCTGATTGCTTTGAATTTGGATGTGCATTCACGTGAAAACAGYCCTGGTGGCACTGCCAATGAGCTAATTACAGCTGGGTTTACTTATTTCAATATAGTTTCAAGGAAAATATATGTACAAATACAAATGCCTAGTATTTTTAAGGAATTTGATGGTAATGTAGATACTGTAATTTATGTGATACCATAAATGCAGCTGGCTGTGGGCAGCACGAGTTCAGTGACATGACAAATAAGAGGCAGATCATTACTTTAATTAGCTCAGGCTCAAAATTACTTATCCAGAACCCATTGAAGTCAGTGGAGCGCTTCACACAGATCTCACTGGTTTCCATGTCYGGCACCTGGAGGATATTGAGGCTGCTGTGGGCACTTCAGCCCACGGGTTGATGTCGTAAATGGTCTGGGGAAGTGCCAGCTCAGTTAGCTGCTGCTGACTTCTTCCTCTGTCTTCCTTTCCCATCTTGCTCTGTTTGCTCCTGTGCTTGGCCTAAAAATGGTGGGGTTGTTCTGGGTTTTTTTTATTTTTAGTTTGTTTTTTTGGGGGGGTTTTTTGGTTTGTTTGTTTTTTGGATTTCTTTTGTTTGTTTTTGTTTTTTTGTTTTTGTTGTTGTTTTTCCTATTATGCATTAGATGAGTTTCTTGATAGAGCTGGGGCCAAGTCAAGAGGAATCAGGGGCAGCAATTCCATAAGTAGGATTGGAATTCCATAATTTCATAAGTGGAATTGCTCAATGCTTTGTGATTTCAGGTCTCAGTTAAAACTGGGCATGGTTTGCAGAGTGAAGGTTGGGGATCCCGCAAAACCAATGGGAAGAGAAGGGAACACCCCTAGGGCRAGGGGCTGAGCATCTGAATTAAACACATACATAGATGTGAGAGTACTTTGTGAAGGAGTATGCAAAGCCCAAAGAAACTCCCAAAAGAATCCCTTCCAGATGGTGGATAGGGGTGGATTTTCTCCAGCTTAAAGCAAATTTGACATATTATTAAAAGACTCTTAAACTCTCTGTGATTAAGATTGAAGCTATTGGTCTGGAGTCAATTTTCTCTTCAGATGAACAAATCTCGTTCAGCGATTATTTCGAGATGATGGGGACTCCTTTAAAGCAGCAGTAGAAGGTTTTGATGTTCCTCAATCTGACTCATAATTTATAAATAATAGCTATGTTTACAAATGAATCCAGAGCAGAACTCTCCTGGGTGAGGAGGTCTGAACACAGACAGTTTAATTGGTTCTTACTCAATGTTTGGTAGGCAACGAGAGCTCAGCAAAATCCCAGGCGGAAGTTGTTTTCATGGGATGCTGCATGGATCTGGACACTCTGGAAAGGGATTTTTTATTATTATTATTTTAATGGTGGAAATATTGAGTGGGAAAGTTTCGTGAGTAAACACAAGATGCTGCGRTGCAATAATCAGGCTGGGGTGATCTGGACCTCTCCTACTGCCAGGTGAGTCTATATGTTGGAGAGCCTGCCATATAAAAATAATAAATGAAAAAATAGTTATAGAAATATACATTGTTAGTTATAAAAATAATGCGTTGTGTGTCGCAGCTTCAACTTCTCTACCGGGAAGAGGCCCCAGAGAGTGTTGAGGCTCCAGCCCCGCTGGCGCCTGCTGCAGAGGCCCGTCGGTGAGGCCGGGCGCGCGAGGACGTGGGCGAGAGCAGCGTGTGCCTCTTCCTGCCGCAGCCGAGGCTGATGCCGGCGCTCGCAGCCGGGGAGGGCACCGCTGGTAGCCCCAGTGGTGGCCGAGCTCAATGCAAAGGGGCTGCCCCTCGGGGAAGGTGTGATGTGGTGCTGAGCTATTAATTTCTCCCACCACAATTTCTGTAGCAATGCATTTACCAGCTGGAGTGCAACCAGCTAATTGTAAAGGGCGAGCCATTATTTTCCAGTTTTCATTTTTGAACTAGATGGTGAAATGTTTACATCTCCTACAGAT